AGTGGTTGCTGACTACCATCTCCCCAACCTGAAGTACATTATTTTTAAGTATGCTGTGCCTGTGTCTGTGCATTTGAGTATAGGAACCCGCAGAGGCCAAAGGCTTCAGATCTCCAGGAGTTGAAGTTGCAGGTGGTTGGGATCCACCTAATGTGGGTGCTGGGAACCAAACTCAGATGTTCTGGAAGAACAGTACATACTCTCAACTGTTGAGCCATCTCTCTAGCTCTCTTTGATTCAAATTTACTACTATACTTATCTTGATTTGCCAGTTATTTTAGATATTTATAGTACATTAAAAAATAGCACCATACTTTATATTAAGGGCAGAAATGATTAAAATAGTTTGCGTTGTATAAAACTTAAGGGAACCTTTAATTTAGCAGTAAATAAGCATTACTACTAGTGAGTTACAAAATGATTAAAATAAAAATAGTCAAGATGGAATGGAATGTAAGTTTGGCCAGTGATGCTGGCTACTCCTATTTTCTAGGTTTACAACGCTGTGGTCAAATGCAATATTAAAGAGAGTTGACATAAGAAAACTGCTATGTCAGGTATATGCTATTTTGTTTCTGTTTTGCAAAAAAAAAAGTTCAGTTGTGTTTGATAACAAAAGTGGAAAATGACAACCAAATATAAGGGAGATGGAAATAAAACTCAAGATTTCCAAGTTATAATCGGTTCATGGGTTCCTTTAGCTTACATATCGTTAATCAAAATCCTTATATTCACACATGAAATGAATTAAGTTTAAGTAAGAATAAAATATTGTACAACAAAGAAATGCATAGTCAATTTAAAATTTAAAGTCCATTAAGTTAAAGTTTAAAATAGTATTATAGGTTATATTGTAAATTCAAATTTTCAGTGATTATCAAAGATAGTGTGACCTTTTAGAACTGAGGTATGATCTATACATAGTTTCTAATGCATTGATTACAAGAAATAGATGGTCTATTTTTTCAGAATAACATGTACCTATGTGACTTATCAACGTGGTAAGAGTAGTTCTATCACTGGAAGGATCACTATTTAAAAGACAAAATTGTTCTACTGTTTTTCACCAAATTTAGTTTTGCATGTTTTAAAACGTCATATAAAACATATTACACAATATGTAATCTTTTTATGTATATTTTTCTAAGCATATTTTAATCTTTACAAATGTTAAATGCATCAATATTTTTACCCCCTTTTCTAACATTGTACTGTCTTTTATGATATGAATATACCAACATTTCCTTATTCAATTATCAGTTGAGGGTCACTGGGTTATTTCTAGTTTTTAATTAATTTATATATATATACATATATATGTGTGTGTGTGTGTGTGTAGGTGTTTGCTTGTGTATACATGTGTAGATCAGAGGTATATTCCTCAACTGCTCTCACATTAAAAACATTAGACAAGGAGTTGGAGCGATGACTCAGCAATTAAGAGTAGCTTGCTGCTCTTTCATAGGCCCATTCCCCATCACCCATGTTGGGTTACTAACAACTCCAAGTTTGTAACTGCAGTTCCACAGGTTTCAACACTCTCTTCTGATCTCCACAGGCACCTGTACACTTGAAGCACTGTGCCCTAAACATCCATACACATAAACTTAAAAATAATTTAAAAATCAGATAACTTGATCAAGTTGGTTTCATTCCAGGGATGTATGGACAGTCTGGCACATACAAATCAGATAAGTAACTCAAGCAACAGACTCTGACACAGTTCACTGCATCACCTCAATAGATGCAGAAAAGGCTTCTGATGAAAACCCTGAAGAAATTAGAACACAAGCACATACCTCAACATAATAAATGCTACATTCAACAAACCCATAGCCCACATTATACTAAATAGGGAAAAACTGAAACCGTTTCCTCTCAAATCTGGAATGAAGCAAGAATATCTATCTTCTCCATTGTTATTCATGTAGACTTGAAGTCTTTCTTATCTACAGCAGTAAGGCAACAAATAAAAAGGAGCAAGCAGAAGAAGAAGTCAAACCATCCATATTTTTTTTGACAACATGATCCTATATGGAAAAGATCTTAGGGTTCCATCAGAAACACTTAGATCTGATTGATAAATACTTTTATTGAAGTAGCTGTATACAAAATTATCATTCAGAAACCAGCAGTTTTCTATATACTGATAGTGAACACGCTGAGAAAGGAATTTGGAAAGCATCCTCATTTACAAAAGCCTCAAGAAAAAGACAACACATCTAAGAGTAAATCTAAGAGGCTAAAGACCTTTACAAAGACATCTTTAAACGCAAAACAGATAGGAGAAGGATTAGAGTATATGGAAAGTCCTCCCATGTTCATGGATTAGCAAAATTAGTATTTTAAAATGGCTATATTCCACCAAAAATTTTATACTTAAAATATCTACTAATATAATTCAGATTATGATTGGTATTACACTAAATAGATTAATTTTCTATCTGGTATTTATTTATTCTAGTACTGGGGACCAAATCTAGGTTTTGGGCAAGCTGGACAAGTGTTGAACCACTGAGCTATATCGAAACCTAAAATATGTCATATTAACAATATACAACACTTAATGATATGGTGTTCCCTTCCATTTACTGAGCTATTCTTTATATTTTATTAATGCAGAGATTTTTAAAATACTTCATGGTATTTTACAGTATTATAAATGGTATTTTTCTTTTAAATGGTATTTTTCTTTTAAATTTCATTTTCTAATCTTTCATTGCTAATACATTCAAATGTGGTTAAGAGCTTATATACTGATTTTTAAACTATGACATTTGATAAAACACATTTCATATCATTTTCTATAAATTCTTTCGAATTTCCTGCCAAAGTAATCACTCATGTCAGAAGTCAATAAATATATCTGTATAATGCAATGGTTCAGTGGTTAGGAGAGCTTTACTGCTCTTCCAGAGTATCCAAGTTTGGCTTCCAGCCACATCAGGTGGTTCACAGCCACCTATAACTACAGCTTCAGGGGATCCAACACCCCATTCTGGCCTCCATAGGCACCTGCACATATACCCACACAATATACACAAAAACAAAATCCTTTTCTTTTAAAAATCAGCATTTCTTTTCCTTACCCTAATACACTGAGAGTAACAACACAGTGTTTAATAGAAACAGTGAGAGCTCATCGCTCCTCTCTCTCTGTCACTGGAGACCAATCAATGTCTTTGCTTTCTTTCTGAAAGTACACAGTCTTTTATCATTAAGGATGATGTTCAGTGTAGGCATCTATAAACACCCTTTACTTATTAAATTAGATTTTTTATGTGAGATTGGTATTAATTCCTTTAACTATAATTGTGGACAGGTCATTCTCCATGTAGTTCTATAAATATAGACATAGTTTGAAGCTACTATTAGACATGAGAATATTTAATCTTGCTATGTCACAGAGCTAAAATGACCAATTTATAATTTTTAGCTGAGATAAGTTATTGCTATAAAACTACGTAATCCTCATACATAATAGTTTTTTTTATTAGCGTTACAACAATATATTACTTTTCATCAAAATCTCTTGTAGGTGGCATCTCAGTAGGTTTCACTTTTCCATTGAACATAATCACCTCTGCTTTAGAATGGGGGTGTTTAGGCCTTTTCACAGCAAACTGATAGACTTTGCCTTAAAACTTCCCTTTTAGTACTTATTTTCTATTTGTCTACTCTGTACTTTGTTCTGTTTCTTTCTGCCTTCCTTTGGATTTTTAAAATTCTCTTTTATATTTTTATGCCATAGTTTACATTGTTTATGTCTAAACTTCAGAATCTATTTTCAAGTAATATGCCTCTTCCTGTAACAATAAGAAAGCTTAGAAAAGTACAATTTCATATGAATTCATATATACAGGAGTAAGTCAGTTTACAACCATTATGCAAAAAGATGAAGTTAAAGACAGTGATGGAATTTGATTATTTCTAATATTTAGACTTAAAACACAAAAACCAAGTCATATACAAACCTACTTATTTTCTTGCTGAATAGTTTCATGAAGGCATTGTTATTTGTAACCTACTAATATTGTTTAACAAAGTACAAAATTCAGCACATAAAGCTGATTATTTATGCTAACAAAGCAGAACTCTGAACCAGTGTAGGTTCCATGATGTCAAAATCTGTGGCAAATACCAGTAAAGATGCTATAGGTATATAGTGAACAAAAGTCTTCCCTTTCTGCTGTAGAAACTCAAATTTGGTTAACTTTCTCTGGAACAGTATTCTCAATCTTCCTAATGCTTCAATTCTTTAATATAGTTCTTAATGCTGTTGTGACCCCCAAACATAAACTTATTTCATTGTTACTTCATAACTAATTTTGCTCTTATGAATTGTAATATATATGAAATTCAGCATATCTGATATGTAACCTCCAAAGGGGTTGTGACTCATAGGTTGAGAACAGCTGCTCTAGAAGCATAATAAAACTAGAATATTTGATTATTAAGCAGCAATACTTATGTGTGTTAGACTATCTAGATTGTTAGTCTATCTAGAATAGGAAAACAAATAGAAAGCATGATTTCTCTCCAGGCAAGAACTCTTATAATCAATATGTACACATTGCAGATTTTAAATAATGACTGCTATGAAGCACCAAGTCTCAAAATCAGAGCAGTTCTCTCCTACTACAGGGTATATCATCTGTTTTGCTTGGACCATAATCTGGTACAAATATATGTTACATGGAACAACAAGATAGTTCAGTAGTTCATGGTGCTTGCTGTCAAGCCTGGCAACCTGAGTTTGATCCCCAGGACCCACATGGTAGAAAGGAGATCTCCCACAAGTTGTCCATCGACCTCCATAGGCAACAGGCATGCTGTACCCCACCCCCATATGTGTGAATGTGTGTGTGTGTGAGAGAGAGAGAGAGTGTGTGTATGTGTGTGTAAATACAAATAAAAAATGAAAAAAATTAAAAATCCATCTCACATAATTATATGGAGAGACACCTAATCCTGCCTAGTTGTCTACTTTCATTTCCTAGGGTTATTCTGAATAGATCTAAATATGGCCTACAGTAATCTCATCACTCCATCTATGTGTCATGTGGGAACACGTCTACAATCCCTGTGCTTAGGTAAGATATCCTTGGCTATATGATAACTTTAAGGTCAACCTGTGCTACAACAGCGCCTGTCTATAAAAAGTGAAAAACAAAGGAAAAGACAACCGCTGGAGCAATGAGGAGACTGAAAAGGGAAGACTGAAACAGAATGTAACTCTTCTCTATTGCTTACAAACAGGTGAGCCCTTTATACTTCAATTTAGTCACTTTAGTGAAAACAGTGCTTAGCTTCACGCAATAACTCCAAATCTCACAAGAAAACAGATCTAGCGAGCATCTTATTTGTGAGCAGTTCAGTTGCTTTCCCTATACCATACGTATGGCTGGCCTCTGTCTTCACAGTCATATCTTTATCGATTAAAATTTACCTGGGGCTCAACAGGAAAAATGCACCAGAGAAAGGTATCACCTGTAAGAGGAACTATTACATATTTGAAAACATTGAGTAAATTGTAGCACATCCCTCTTACAAAGATCTCTTTAAGTACACTCCCAAATGTATGAAACAGAATGAAATACTAACATAAATACATCCGAGTTTTTGTTTTCTCTTTGTTTTTCTGTTCAAGCACTTATATATTTTGAAGAAAAAAAACTTACTGTTTTAAGTTCTTGACGCAATTGTTGATTGTAATTTGTAGACTCTTCCAACCGAGCTTCTAAAGCAGCAATTTTTTCTTCTTTTATTTCAAGGGACTTCTTAAGAGTAGATTCTAATTTTGATTCCAAAAGTTTGTACCTATTATTACAAGAGTAATATAGTTTGTCATTAGATATCAAAACACTTTTAGAGACAAGCTATGATTACAACATTGATGTATTAAATGAGATTTATAAGCCTTCATGTTTGTTATCTTCCTCTTTGTAGTGGTCACAGGACAAACTTTAGTAGTAAACAGAACTCCGAATTACTGTCAAGACTACCAAAAGAACAGTTAGTGCTCAAAAAGGGAAGCTAAATAGCTAAATCTCCAAGTATTTCATCTAGATTTATAAGACTAAAATAGAAAAAAGTTGATGTATCCTTTATATCACACGTATGTATGTCTGTGACATTAGTATGTATACATTTTTATGTAACGGTCAATATGAGCAGTTAAGACTTAAAACTTACTGTAAGCTGGGCATGGTGACATACACCTTTTATTCCAATACCTGTAAGGCTCAGGAATGCCTACCCTATAAAAAGAGTTCTAGGCCAGTGAGGGCTACACAGTGAGACCAAGCAAAACAAAACACCTCAGTACTGGCTGCCTTTAAACAGTTACAATAAAAAAGACAATGCTACTCATGGCACATTATGGTAAGAGTCAGGCAGATGTGAATACCAATATTCTAGTTACATTACAGTATCTTAGAATGCATAAGTTGTTATTAAGTAGTTTTAAAATTTGTGCTTATATGATATATGCATATATATGTATACACATTTATGCGCCATGGGTAGAGCGGGTATCCTTTTCTGTCACTGTCTTAGTCCCCTGACAGCGTCTCTCATTGAACCTGTAGTTTGTTTTTCAGTTAAGCGGGCTGGCCATCACATCCCAGAGGTCTTGCTGGTCTTCCTGTTGTACAGTCCCTAATCCCTGACCCAACCCAAGGTTGTAGGCACACATGCCCAGTTTTCTACATGGGCACTAAGGATGCAAACTCAGGTCTTCACACTTGCATAGCAATTTCAGAGTATACAGTAAAATAAAGGCTTTTGGTTAATGTGATTTTTATACCCAAAGAACCCAAAGAGAGAGCTGAGTATGGTGGTGCATGCTTGTAATCCCAGCACCTGAGAGGTGAAAGCAAGAGCATCAGGAACAGAGTTCAGGGTCATCAGCAGCAACACCATCAGTTAAAAACTAGTCTGAATTACACAAGACCCTACCTCAGTATCCTCCATGACTTGAAAGACAAAACCACTGGACAAATGGGACACCCAAAAAAGGACAAATCAGCAAGAGAAAAATTGCCCAAGAAAGAGAGTAAACTGGCCTAATGGTACAGCACATTTCCAACATGACAGAATCTCTTAAATCTTCCCAAATTTTTGTTTCTACTCTCCTCTACAGACATATAATGGTAGTTTTGTAATCCCAATTGAGTTAAAAATTAAAGCTGGTTTTGGAGTTGGGGTGTGGCTTTCTCCTTTATCAAGCATGCTTGTTAAAGGAAAATCCAAAAATCTCTGTATCATGTCAGAAGAGCCACCTGGTATGGGGACAGAAGAAAAACTAAATTAAGGGCCTACTCTATTACCACTAATTTCACAATTCTTTGGTTTTGACTCTTTAAAACCTTTCTTAGGGTAAAATTTATAAGGCTATTACATATCTATAAACTTTCTGTTGTGATATTATAATGATCATATACAATACTAATTCTAGAAATAAACCTCATTTGGCTTCCTGTACATGATTTCAGGCTTTAGACTGAAGCAGATAATTAGGAACTAAATTTGTGTAACCTGAATGTATTTAACAGATTGTGGTCCTTTAGTGTCTCAGAAATCTGCTGCATATGACACATATGTTTGAAGTTTTCTGCAGTGAACTGTGACCATCCATTAAAGACCTTTGAGGTTTCTAAGATGATGCTCCATGCCCCCACAATGATGAATCCACATGGATTGTGATAATGCCACACCATCCAAAGATTAGCTGTGGGCTACAAACTGCTCATAACAACTTCAATGTGGTTAACTAAGATGGTCCAGCCTCATGCACTACTCCAGTCAGGACTTCAGATAAGCCCTGTACCTTCCCATTACACCAAGACTAGATAACAACTAGCTCTCCCAGGACTTGACCATTATCTTAATTTTCTCAGGGTTCCCTAAAGAAGCCATCACCCCCAAACAACAGGAAGCAGGCTAGAGAACTTGATGCCCACATTCCCAAGAGGTGGCGGGGGCAGTTTTTGGTTGTTCAGTGGATTATGTTTATCGTTGTTTTAGGGGGTTGCTTGTAAGCTGTTATTGGTCATAGTCAGGAAAGAAGCTAAGCAAAGGAGATTAGATTCAGGGAATCTTTCTGAAAAAAAAAAGGGGGGGTATATAGGAATGACAGAATAAAAGGGTAGATTACTTAATCTAGTTTTAAACTGAAAACCAACTATTAATCTCAAATATTTTACATCAGTATGAATTTTCATATATTGACACAAATTTAAGGTTGTTTTTGTTAGAGCACAATGTATATATGTTTCTACTTTTGTTTAAGGTATTGTACCAATGCAGCTCATTTAAAAAATGTAATATAAAGTTCTAGTCATTGAAAACTATTATTACAAACTATTTAGGATGACAAAGAAATGCAGGTTAGTAGTTAGTCATCTATAACAATCAAACTTATAGTCATGTAGGTATGTTTTCAAGGTTAAATAGATATATTTTAACAAATAAATAGTAGTCTTCAAACACTTCAAAGATTTACAGAATATGGCATTTAAGATGTTGTAATAATAAAGGCTTTTCATGAGACCAAGACATATCTGCTACTATCAGCACCAATTTACTTCAAAAAAAGCATGATGGGCATAAAAGAACCTCCACATAGAGTTTGCTTTCATTATGGCAGTTAGTTTCTGGGCAAGAAACTGCCCTTGCCTCAACTGCAGACATATGCTGTCCAAAGGGGAAAAGCAGGATATAAAAGAAGGTGACTGGTGAACTTTGCCAAGACAAGGTAGGACAGTCCTTTAAAATTCCTGCTTCACACAAAAGTCTGTCAGATATGGTAGGCATGTAGGCTGCAGACAGATGCCCCAATATTGCAGAGGAGCCTTGGGTGACTGTTTGGGCAGCTAGATGTCTATATAGATTTGGAAGTCGCTTGCCTTGCACTTCGTGTTTACTTAGGTAATAAATATATCCTTCTTAGGTCTCTGATGGGGTTGAAGACAAGATAGTTATAGTTACAAGCTTTCCTTGTTACCAAGTCCAGAAAAGAACCTCACAAAAGAGACTTAAGAGCTTAAGTTGTTTATCTAAGAAAATGTTTTAAAAGGTCTAAAAACATTTTTCTAGGTTGCAAATATAAGTTATGATATAAAGTAAATTAGATACAAAACTTTGGATCCATCAAGATAGGATAGATAATACAGTATTTTCTCAGATTTTGCCAAATACAAATGAAATGGACATTGCGAATATAATTCTTAATTGATAATTGTTCTTATTGTATACAGTTTTTGAAAGGGGTAAATTAAACTCAAGGACCTCACTTCTAATCATTTAGAAATAAAGGGACCAGACCCTCACTCAGCCCCCTGCTTTACCAGCCATGAAAGGCTACAGAAAAGACACATAGGCCTCCGACACAAGGAAACTCCAGATCCTCTGTTCTCCCAGAGCCTAGGGCCAAAAGTGAATGCAAAGAAACTCCAGACGCCTCCCCAACCCCTGGCCTCCTAGATACTTGGTTCCTGGGAACTGTTTAGCCACAAAAGAAACTTCAGGGGGGGATCAAAACCTCCCCTGTAGTCTCCAGGATATAGTTCTGAAAATTAATGGTATCTATGTACAACAGGCCACCTGCAAGTGACAAGACAATGTCATAGAAACCACAGAGTGTTCCCTCTCAACATTGACCAATGAAAATAATTGATACACAGGTATTCATGTCAAAACATGACTTTGAGAATTTCTCTTAATTGTTCTCAAATGTCAACCAATCAGAAACCAACTCATACCTACTGATGTAATCCTGTAACTTTTGTCTATAAAAATCTAGCAGTAGACAAGGAACTTTACTCCCTCTGGAGGCTGCTGTTTCAGCTTGCTAGATGGGGTCCCTGTCATGGTTGGATGAACAATTAAAACCTTGCATTTACAGTTTGGTTGGTCTGTCTTTCTGATGGTCTCTGCGGGATCTTTGCAACTTGGGCACAACAGTTTTACTTTGTTAAAGTTAAAACCTTTCCTTTTTATTTAGACAATACCTGATAACTGTTCTTATTACATATAGTTTTACAGTTAAAACCTTTTATTTCTTTCTTTTTTGTTGTTGAGACAAGGTTTCTCTGTGTAGCCTTGTCTATCCTGGAACTTACTCTGTAGACCATTGTGGCTTTGAACTCACAGAGATCTGCCTGCTTCTGCCTCTTGAGTTCTGGAATTTATTTGTTCACACTGACACTACGAGACTGGCAATAAACTTTACCTTGAATCAGAGGGCAGAGTTAGGAACTAGCTGACCAGAATTAGTCATAGAGATTTTGGAGGACCCAGGAAAAAGAGAGATACAAGAAGTAGTAGGAAGGGGCTTAGAAAGATTGGCAAGCTTTTTGGATCAAGGAAGGAGAGAGGATGTCACTGGTGACATCTCCTCTGCTTCTCTGATTTAAGGCAAAACTTTATTGGCAGTCTTGGAGTATCAGTATGAACAAATATCCCACAACACCATCCCACCTGTTACTGTAATTAACACTTTAAGAGTTATTTTTATTTCTATGCATTAGTGTGTATATGCCACATGTACAGGTGCCTGCAGAGGCCAAAAGGGACACATAACATGGGTGATGAGAACCAAACCTAGGTCCTCTGTAGCAAGTACTCTTAGTCATATCTTTTTAGCACCTATAACTAATTTTTACATTTTCTGCCTGAAAAGAT